CCCAGTGTCTTCGCTTATGAACTGGAAAGGCATGTGCTGGATATTCGACATGTGGTCCATTGGTACCAATAATATACTGCCACCGAACTGCACTATCAAGTGCATTCGTATGCAAAACTAAATTTTTGTTTATGGGAAAAGCACTATTAGATAATTTACAGTCTCCTTAAATTACAATTACAGTTCTTCTAATCATTAATTACAAAAACTACCAGCTAGGTTGATGCAAAGAGCGCAGGAACAACGAGATGTTTCAAAAATTTCTAGGATATATCGTAATGAAATATCTATGCATCCAAATGACAATATGAAATTACTCGCTACCTGATGTAAGATTTTTTTCAGCGTAATACAAGAATCTTGATGGTTGTTTGGCTGATATCAAGCAAGCACTGGTCATGTTTACGCGTGTACCGAATTGTTCTTCATAGCTTAAAAGAGCCCAGTTAAATAACTTCAGCTGATAATAGAAAAAATTAATTTTTTACAAGTTTTAATTTTTGATAATGGTTTCAGCAAGTAGAAAATGATCGAAATATCAAACATTATATGATATTGGAAATAAAATATGATAAACACAGAACAAGTAGTAATGCTGACTGTAGCAACAAAAGGAAGTAATTCAAATTAAATGATTACCAGCCTATAATGCCAAAAAATTAACCAAAGTTTATCAGTTCATAATATCCCATAAACAACACACCTCAAATATCCCGGTGTGATCCGTGCACATTCTGTCATTGATCTATAGTCGCGAAAAGTAATCCAATCTGGTTGCGAGCTGCTTGAAATGTATTTCTTTGTTTCAGCTAACAAATTGAAATACTTTGCAAACTGTGCATCGAGGCGATTCGTTATGTCACGTACCAGAGAAGAATTAAGAGCTGTCCGCTTGAAATCCAAACCATCAATAATTGACTGTAAATTAAGCACTAGTAGACAAATAAGATTAATTGATACTTAAATTATAATACAGAACTCACATTTTTTTTGGGAAAAAAGCAAACATGTAAGTCACACTTCTGACCCAAACTTCTGAATTTATCAATTGAAAAAGTGATAAAGCGGATTTTTAAATTTATGTAGTTTTTTATTAGAAAAGAAAATATGTAATCCCGTTTAATCCAGCAAATATAAATGAATTATTTAAAAAGTTAACCAAAATCATACTTGTATGACAGGTACACCGAGCAATTCATTAACTTGCAATCGATGCGCTTTGTACAGTTGATCAGCTGTAAAATGTGCAGCAAGTGTGATGTAATTTTCACGTACAACATTCTGATGTTGACGATACATTGCTGTGATTGTAACAAAAGTTATGATAACCGATACAATCACTCGAATTAAACAAAAATGCATTTGAATGAATATAAAATGACTGAATATTAACGGTCACAGATGAATGATGCAGTAAGTTCGTTTAATTTATATTTTGATAAAATAAATCTTGTAGCATTACAATTTGCTACTCTTCGATTCATTTCACATCTGAAATAATAATGCATTATATCACTTGATTACTTGAAAGCAAAAAAAAAATTCAAATAGTAATTCAAATTTCTAAAATATTTCAATTTATTTATTTATTACTGGAACAGTAATACTTTATGTTCTTAACAGTTCAAAATAATTTATCATTTCCAAACGAACTTCTTCACAAGTGTTAGGCTGAATGATAAACACTGATAATACACCTCACTGCCGTTTCTTCTTCATTCACATGTACCTTTTTTTTGTGTTCTGAGAGACAAACATACCGATATTTAATAAAAATTCTTCAATCAATGAAAAAAAAAATTTGATAAACGGAGGAAAAACGAATGAGAAAATTTGTAGAGTGTAGTGATACCACTAATATGAAATTAAATTACGTTTCTAATATCATTTATTATCAAAGAAAACGTCCAATGTATTAGCATATTTAGTCAAAGAGGGTGAGAATAAAAAGAGAGAGAGAGAAAGAGAAAGAGAGTTGTCAATTAATCGAATTACATATTCCAAAATGATGAATTTTCGTGCTAAATTCAAGCAATAATAACATTGTGAACAATTTTTTAAAAAAGCATAAAATTTTTAATAAATTTCTTTTATAATGATTGGAAGAAACTTTTCGTTTGGAAATTTGTCTTTTTTTTTATGAATAACTAATCGACAGTGCACAAATTTTTTCATGATAATAAAAGGCAAAATTTTAAAAATTGTGGAATTGTGGAAGAAAGTACGAGAGAAATTAGTTTGATTTACAAGAATATGAAATGATGAGTAGAAGAGTAAAATAAAGTGATAAATAAATAGAAGCACAGAATAGGAGCAATCGCCTCACTGCGTTCGCATTCTCGAGAAAATTTGCTGAATGTTTTGGCCATCCGTAAATTACCATACTGTCCTCACTAAGGGGAAAGAAAGGGGTGAAAGGTCATCGGAAGACATGTAGGAGAAGGAGATTAGATGAGATGGAGTGAATTTGTTTAACATTTCTCCCCTTCCATCTTTCGAACTCTCTGCTGAGGCAAATCAGAGAAGGTCAGTTTTTATTCCTCATTAATGACCATCTCATCCACCACTTTAACTGTATTGATCTGCTCACCTTATGAGCTTGCCGAGAGATTATATAGCAGAAACTGTTGCCTACGATAGCAAAAAAAAAAAAAGTAAAATAAAATCTTTCATTTTTCAATAAGACTATAAATTCCACAGAATATTAAATATTAATCGCACTTAAAAAAATTATCAAAATATGTTATTAATTCTCAACTGCCACATTCTGAGCTTTTCTCGATTATCTTCTTGCGTCAGTAATATCAAACATTACTTACCTAACATATTTGCCATTATTTGAAATATTTGGCTTAGTATGTTATATGCAGAAATTGGTTAACATTTACCTGTAATTAATTTTTAATTTTAATATAAAAAATTCGACAATGTTCATTTTATTTTCACTTATCTTTAACATTTCATTCCCAGCTGGTTGCTTGACTGAAAATGGTTTGATTTGATGCATTTCGGTTGATCATTCATTTTTTTTAATCATTACTTCCCCCGAATTTTTTTTCTCTTTAGCGGAAAATTATATTAAATAATTTTAATTTCATTTCCTATTCCTATTCAATTTGATTATTTGATTATCTAATAATGCATAAACTTTTGGTTTGGAAATTTGATTTTGTTTTTTTTTTTTTTTTGTGAATAAATGTTCGACATCTTATGATAATGAAAGATAAAATCAAAAAAAAAAAATTGTTACTTCTCAATGGGAAAAAAATTCGATTTTTTATTTAAAGTATAAATTTCCAATTTTTATTTTCTAACAGGTACATTCACCAAAACGTATCAGTCATACTACTAACATTAAATTGGAACCATACTCTGTTGTTAGCGATACATCAACCGTTCCCACTGATTATGCATCAGTTGCTTCTAATGAAAGCTTCTATGACACGTCGCACATTCTCAATGGTCGGCCTATCTTTGGACCCTGGCCTAAACCTATATTGTATCATCTTTTTTTCTGCTTAATAATTTGTTAATTCTTGAAAAATTCTTCAAGAATTTTTAATATATTACATTTTGAACATAATAAAAGTCAATATTTCTATTGCTGTTCTTTCTTTTTTCTTTCTTGAATAAATTTTATAGGCCAATGAAAAGTCATTCAGAATCAAATGAAATTCATAAATTAACACAGTGCACTGAGCATAGTATGAAGAAAAGCTCTTCAGATACAACAATGGATACTACTATTCATTGTGGAAGTAAATTAAATCGATAATAACTGATAATTTAGTAATTAATAAACTGATTAATAGTATTGGTACTTTTCTTCCACTTCTCTTCCGGTATTTTGTTCTGATGAAATTTTCTGCTCTGATACTTTCTAATATATCAAAAAATTATGATATATAGTAGTAAGCATAAATGTATAGATTAATAGAAATATTAAGTTTAGAGTTTGTTTTGCTATTGTTATAAATTAGAAATTTTTGTGAAAACTTTAAATTTACAAAAACTTGCTGAAAAATCTTATTAGAAAAGTTTGCATAAAATGTTGCCTTTTTCTGTTTTAAGCCTTCTAAAATTCCTCCTTTTAGCAAAGTTAAAAAAAATTTTTTTCAGCAAAATTAAGAAAAAAATTTGTTTTTAACAATTTCACCTAGTCAATTAATTTTCAGAGTCATCAAAAGAATTAAATATCAGTGTTCCGGCGGAAGAAAAATATGATATTGCCAGACGAAAAGTTTAAAAATTATTTCATAATTCTGAATTCTCATTATTTCTCATTATTTTTCAATCATTGTTTATAGTTTACCATCAAAATTCCATCTTCTCATCCAAAATACAACTTAAATTGGTATGATTGAATATTTTCAGTTATCGAAAAATAATTTGCATGAAAGAATTGCTATAACACCACATGAACAAATAAATTATAATACAGCTACACTAAAAACTGGCAGCATTTTAGTATGTTCAATTTAATTTCATTTAAAAAAAAAATGATATAATATTTCATATTTTAGTAAACCGTTTAGGCCAAAGGTTGATCCGAATGAGATAAAAAAAGCTTTAGGTTCATTTTCTGAACTTATTAACCTGCATGGATATATTTTAGGATGCAGGAGAATCGGAGCATTCGATAGTATCACCAAACGGACAAAATAAATTACACTTTGAACAGCTTCAGAAACGATTTACATCATTAGCTACGTCATTTGTTAGCATATTATAAATAATTCAGTTAAAATTGTCTCCAATTTTATGCGATAAAATTAACAAATAAATCAACTCAGAAAGAAATATTTATAATATCTGTATCATCTTATCGCCTATTCTCTTGAAATTAAATGGTAGATTTTATTTATAAAGGCTGGCGCAAGAATTGCAGCAATTGGTGAATCATCCACTGATCAAAAGTTAAAAATTAATGAAACTAACAATACTAAGGTAAAAAAAAAGTAATCTAAATAACAAATATTATTAAGAGATAAGTGTAGAAAATAAAATAATAAGTATTATTTATTGAAAATGTGAATTTTGTTTTTTTCAAGAAAATTTGAATTAACACTTTAATAGTAAATAAAGACTTTTTTTTTCAAAAAAAGGCATAAAATTCTAATTTTAAGATCATTTTTACGGAGGTCATTTTGATATAATCAGACGAAAAATCAAAAAATAATGATTTAAATTTTTAGAAACCAATTGGAACATTACAATCAGCATTGCAATCAATTAAATCAAAAAGAATTCATAATAGTATGAATATCTTTTTTCTTGTTTCAATTGAAATTGTACTTTCGAAGTCATTCTTTAACAATTTTTTGTCGTGATAGATTTTACAAAAAGAGAAAACAAATCTTTTCTTTCCAATCATTTCAGAAATTAAAATTAATGATGAATTAACAGCGCGTAACTCTTCATATTTTCAACAAAAACGTATCACCACAGATTTACCACTAACTGCATCAACTTCTTCCGCTGTAAGTTAAAAAAAGTTTGCTCTTCCCACGGTAAGTTAAAAAAAAGTCTGCTCTTTCCGCGGTAAATTAAAAGGTAGTTTGCTTCTTCCGCATTAAGTTAAACTATAGTTTGTTTTTGTTGCAGTAAATTTTTTTTAATCCGATATTCATTTTCACTATGGAAATTTCAATTCATAAAAATATGTCAAAACTAACTGATATTGTATTAACAATGTGTAAATATGATCAAAAATTAATTGCGCAATTTAGGATTTGAATGATTTTCGTCTCGAAATTTTTTACATTATCTCTTTTTTTTGCATTTCGATGATTCATTTCTTTTGTCTCTTCACATAATATTCACCCATTTACATACTTTTCATTTTGTTTACTTTGAAGGTTATCTTTAAAAATTTTGAAAGTTACGATTTACACCTCATTTAATTTCATCTATCTATTCATTATTTTCATTTTTTTTTTGCATGTAAATTTTATTTTCACAAAATTTATCAAATAATTTTGCATCATTTGTTATCACTATT